AAAATAAAACGAGGGCAAAAATTTCCAAATATACAGTAGTTGTACTCAAAATGTGTATTGAGAACCAGCTGTTTAAAAAAAAACCTAACTTTACTTACTTCTAAATTTTTTGAAAACTTTTCATGTTTTCCAAATACTTTTCTGTTTAATACTTCAGATCCAATAGACTATTTGTGGTGATAATGAACTAGTTTACCATGTAAACTTTAGGTTTTGGACCTTGAACCACTGTATTTCTGAACTCCTGATTTCCATTAATATTTTTCAAAAATCACATAGCAAAATATTGTACCTCGGTAAGATTGTAATTAATTTCACAATCAATGTTGAAGACTTGACTGGAATATTATATTTTATATGAACCAACCCAACCTAATCCTCATTTTCTATCTGGTCTTAAATCTTTCAATTATTTTCTTCCAAATTGCAAATTTTAGTAAATACATTAATTATTTAAATAATTTCATAAAAATAAATTATTTTGATTTTTTTGTTTGTTTAATTTTCAGGATTGTGGAAGGCCATGTTTTGAACAATCCAGTGAATATGCAGGCAGTATCTTCTCCAGCCAAACAATTTCAGTCAGCAGTCAGATTGCTCACAGTCCTCTGTTTGCAATCTTGATAGATTAAATCTTTTTAATCAACTTTTGCAGTCCTTTATCAGAAGTCCTGTGAAACAAATTCAGTCATCATTGGCAAGTAGCAGTGGACGCACACAAAGAAGATATACATCAAAATTGAAAGATTGTGTAAGAGTCCTTTGTGATACTTTTTGTCCAGGTGAGGGTGATATCCTCCATGATATGTATGTCTCAACCTTAGAAGAGAAATTTCAGTCTCACCCAGAAAATATGCTCCCATAATCCAAAATTCGGGGGCATATAGTTTTTGCTCTGTTTATCTGTCTGTCTGCAAAAACTTTAACCTTGCCGGCCATAACCTTTTGAATGGTTGATGTCATAGCTTTCATATTTCTCTGTATATTCCAACATTTTAGACCTTTTGACCTTGACCTTGAAGAACCTACTTTTCAAAACTTTAACCTTGCCCATATCTTTTGAATGGTTGGTGTTATGGGGTATTATATTTCATATGTGTATTCCTTCTGACAAGATCTTTTTTTAGTTACCAACATTTCTGAACTCTTGACCTTGATATTTGACCTACAATTAAAAAACTTTTTCATGGCCATGAGCTGCCATATGGGTGCATCAGTGTTTCCCGACCACAGTTTGTTTGTACTTTAATACATAAACTGTACTTGGAAAAATATGTACAAATAATTAGTAACAACCCATTTAGCTTTCTGTACAAGTAATAGTCATTAACTGAAGGTAGCAACTTTGTATCAATCCGTCAGTCTATTTGTACCGGTATTATGCACCTTAGATTGTAAATCCCATAAAATTACAAGAAGTCCAACAAACAAGCCTTCTACTTTGGGAAGAGTAGAGCTATATATATATATATATATATATATATATATATATATATATATATATATATATATATATTAGGGATGGCAATCGAATACAGAATTGCTAATCAGTTAACCGCAAGACGTTCCGACCGATTAACTGGTTAACCGTATCAAAATATGCATTTAATTTTTCTTGATATACTTCCCCCCCCCCCCCCCCCACGTATCTCTATTCATATACACAAGAAGACTAATAAAGTCGCTAGAAGTTAAATCATTCTATTTGTCTTCTTTCTTGATAAGAAAACTACATGCATAAATTATTTATATTTTATTTCAGTTTTCACAGACAAGAAAAAATTAGGAAAACCACGAATCATGTCTGAGAAATCAGATATATCCAGAGCAGATGTCACATAAGTTCATTCTGCATTGTCACCATAATTAAAATTAAGTCTGAACTACATCACTGAATTTACAATGTTTGTTTAGTAATTTATTAGATGGACAACTGCAAAAGACAAACATACTAATTCGCAGTGTTCAACGGTGATTTAATATCATTAAAGAATTACATGACAGCCGGGGTAACGACAAGGTGTTTTAACAGTAATTAACTTCAAACACAAAATGACCAATTACCCCACAATACCCATCCAGAGAAACATAATTAAATCCAAGTCAGCTTGGATATGTGAGAACACTAAATTATCAACGTTAATTCAGATTTTTCTTTTTTTTCCGAAAATGAATTATAAGAAAATTGCGTTTAAATTTACATGTATTTTATTCTTTTTCCGACTAACCGATTACAGATTTTCTAACCGATTGCCATCGTTCCGACCGAGTAATCGGTTAACCGGTTACAAATTGCCATCCCTAATATATATATATATATATATATATATATATATATATATATATATATATATATATGACATATGGCTTTAGGAGACCAAGGAGGATATATTTTCTGGCTTAGGGAGACCACTGGATTAAGGCGACCTTTTTCGGTCTCCCTATTATTTTGACCTCAACAGTATTGCAAATGTCTTTTTATAGGTAAATAAACAGTCTGCCATTAAATTTTATTAATCTTTAACTCTGTTATTTAACATTCAAAAGTTGTCTAATTTCTATCATCTTCCCTAAAAAAGAAAAGAATTTATAACCTACGTATAATTTCAAAGGATAATTTTTCTGCATTTTGGAGACCATGAAAAACATGCAATTAAACAAAAAATCTAGCATATATATTTTTTCCGCTTTTGATTTGTTCAAATGAGTGTTTCTTTAACTTAGTTTTCCATGTTTTATGTTAAAAACCTAAAAAGGAAAAAAATTGTAAATTTATGAACCATGTTTTGAATTCTTAGCAAGTGCTTTCCGTCATTTGTTCCGAATGCCATCGGAATGCCCCTTCAGTTTTCAGAAAATGACCTCTGAACACCATGGATGTTGAGAAATTTGGGTAAGTAACTAAAATGATACAGTAATAAGTTGTAATTAAGAATACACAAGACAAACATTCGTTTGTTTTTTGTTGTTGTTTTTTTTTTTTGCCTAGTAATTTAGCTTTCAAGAGAAAAAGTATGATTTTAAATCAGGCGCGTAGCTGCCTATACGCAGATACGCAAGTGCGTACACATCATTTTGCAGAAAAAAAAGAAAGAAAAAAGATAAGAAAAAAGAGAGAATTATTCTGAGAAAAAAAAATCTCAGTACCATCCAACAAATATTCGTGTTTTAAATTATTCTGTGTCATACTATGTCGATTTAAATTTTAAATTATCATGGCTGTATGATAAAATTTGAAATCTTTTATTTAATAACTGACAAATCCAAATAAATCATTCATTATTTTGTCATAATTCTATCATACATTGATATTTTTTTAAAGAGATCTTTGAAAAAATAAATTTCAGCCACATCGTTGAATGCTATGATCTACTAGTATGATTTACAATATCATACACTGTCCTTGCTTGACAAAATTTTTAAAGTTGTTATTTTTTCCTGGCTGGCAAAAGCTATATTACGTGCCTGACCAGAGCCCTTAAACACTGGGGGGGGGGGGGGGGGGGAGGGCTCAAGACCCCCCACCCACCCAACCCCCTGCCGTTTTCTGCGTACACATCATTTCTATTCTGGCTACGCGCCTGTAAATAATCGTTAGACTATAGTTCGGTATATAAAATCCTGAAGGAAATTCGAAATAAAGTTAAATGATAGGCCCCTATATTTTTTAATTCTTTTATGCAAGTCCACAAACAAATTAATTATTTAAAGATTAGGCCGAACGTTGAAAAAATAGTCTCGCAAGTTGACGCAGCTATTTCGAGCTTAAAAATTTAAATTAAACTTTCTGTAAACATCATGCAGGACATGATCATCATGATATAGTATAAATGAAACAGACCCTTTAAGAAAAAAATAGCTGTAATTTAAAAATTGTTTATTAATATAATGTGGTCCTCTGCTAATAGAATATATATGCTGTAAAAAAAAAAATCTGAATCAGGGTGAAGCAGATTTGATACAATACATGGCTGAAGGAACGGGGGGGGGGGGGGCAGGCCCCCTGTAATTTTGCTGAAATTTAGGTATACTATAGAAAACATTGCTCCTTTATGCTTGGGCCCCCTCAATAATAACCTCTGATGATCTATTTTTCTTTTGCTTTTGGGCCCCCTCAATAATAACCTCTGATAATGTATTTTTCTTTTGCTTATTAAAAAATTTTTGGTTTGTAGCCTCCCCCATCCTGAAACTGAAAAATGTTGTTTGGTTGTGCTCACCCCCCCCCCTCCAACTAAATTACGTACGGGCCTATTCTCCATCCCTGAGGTTTTCTTTCACCAAAGAAAGATTAATTGGTAACAGTTCAGATATATATAGCAATATTTACGGAAGGGAATATTCTCGTTTAATTATGAAGATGTGACAGTAACTCAGTCAAAGCCACAGTGAGTGTAACATTTATTTAATATTATTGTTAATGTTTACAAATAGTGAAATACTGATACTGTGAAATTTTAATGGATATATAGAAAATATAAAAGTACAACCATTTATTGTAAATCACATACATGAAAAGCTTTTTTTTCAAGCAATTGGAAATTCTTCATTTTTTCATGAAATTATTTTATTTCGTATGTATGATAATTTATTTCGTATTTTAATTCAGTCAACAAATCATTGTCGCAGCCTAGTTCCCTTCATTATTTTCAGCAGTTCAGTGACAGAGATAAAATGATCATTTGAGGTTTATACCCCCCCCCCTCCCCACCAAATGAAACTGAAAAATGTTTGGTTTTGGTCCCCTTCAACTGAAATTGATTCCTACTTACCATGCTTACAGGCTTAACTATGAAGATGTGACAGGGAGTGTAATAACAATAATTGTTCAGACAGATACATATTAAGCTGATATACGTATCAAATTTTAATGGATAGATAGAAATTAATAAACAATTACAACCATTTATTATAAACTACATAAAGATAATTTTTCAAGCAATTCGAAATTTTTCATTTTTTATGATAATATTTTATTTCGTATCCATATGTTTATAGGTTTATTCGTATCAACAAATCTGTGTACGAGTTAATAACGCAGCCTGGTTCCCTGCATTTCAGTGACAGAGAACCAGAATAAGATTGTAGGGAAACAAGCCTTGTTACAAGGTTTGAGGTTTGTTTATTTTATATTTTAATTTACACTTTTTAAAAATTATTATTATTATGCAAAAATCTGTACATTTTAATGTTATAAGTCGTTTTGTGGTTCATATTTGCGGTGACTGTCCCACGTGTGTTTACCTGTTTACATTCACCTACTGACCTAGAGTCTTCAAAATGTACCTTCTGTAATCATGACTGTTGTAATCTTGTTTTTATGTTAGTTTATCGTATGTAACTTGACTGTTGTATAGATTTATAGCGATCACTGCAAGCTTTTATTATTTAGGTGAAGAGAAATTTCAGACTATCAATCACAGGCACTTGTTTCATATACGGTGCACCCCTACTTATTTTTACCAGAAGGTATCTAACTCAATTTCAGGCACCCCTGCTTCAAGCTCGTATTTTGTTCATGTATCATTATCAATCATTAACCTACTTTAAAATGACATCGTTCGCTTCAAGAGACTTTTTTCTTGTCAAATAAATCGTTTCAGACGTCTCTGGTGGAGTCTCTTTATTGTAAAGCACTCATTTATTCCACGAAAATTACCTCGATACATTTTAAGACTTTAGATGGGATACAACTTCCAGTTGGGGGTAGAATAAAACCGGAGACTTCCGAGTATTCCATTCCGAGGTCTCTGGTTTTATCTTTCATTTATAACCCCAACAGCAAATTTGTATCGAAAATTACCTTGATACATTTTAAGACTTTAGATGGGATACAAATTTCATTTTTTTTCACAGGTCACGAGGTTTCAACTTAAAAAATAAAAATTCTCACCGTTAAGATATGTTGGAAATTTTAGCTTGATGTGTTGATAATTTGCCAAATTATTATGTAATAAAGGGGACTTTATATGATCACCCGGCGCTGTCGCTTTAGTTCAGTCTTCACAACAATTCTTTTTCAGCATATGCCCTTCGGGCATGTAGACCTATCATTTTTACCCAGCCCATTCAAATTTGTACATGTCCTACTCAAAATTCTTACATTTACCAGTATTGTGCAACAAAAAAAACCCATTAGGTATAAAGGTTTTTAATTTTTTCAGCATCGTAAACCAACCATGGCCTGTGATTGCCATTTTCTAAAGCGTTTTTGTTCATAAATAACTTTTGAGTTGCATGCTTGTCATTTGTTGGCCGGTTTAGCTGAACTGAATTTCAGAAATGGGATCATGACTGTAGTGCCACAGTATGTGGCATTGATGAACATCTCGTAATTTAGCAAGCAACTTCGAGAAAACAAATAGGTTAAACTAAACACTTCAATGATTAGATTGACAATCATTTGACAGGTCGTATCGAGAATGTAGACAGGCAATCCATCGACATTACATATAGCAACGTTTAAGCGAATAATGACAGAATAAATGGCAAGTAAAGATCGTACAATGAAAGAAGATTCACATATGCCCTCTTTGGACATGTAATTTGGCAATTTTTACATGCCCGGCTGCAAATTTAACAGGTCCCTGGCATTGGACTCCCGGGTTATTTGGAAGACTGTTAGTTTAGTTTCACGAGGTCCGACAACATTGATTCTCAATGTCTGCTCCCTCTACCCCATACACTTATCTTGATAAAATTATATATATTTTATTATTAATTATATAAATTGATATAAATTATATAAACCGGTCTTGTTTATATAATTTTACAATGTCATAAACAGCTGCTTAAGTGCATATAATATTGTAAATGGATTTATATATAGGATTAGGGAAAGATCCTCACTTGATTATGGCAGCATATTTAGCTCGTAGGAGTTTATTATCTACCACACATGATCAATGTCACTTTTGGACGTGAATGACTTTTGACACCCTAACTTCAGTTCAAATCAACGTTAACTTTATGTGACGTCTCTCTGAATCTTTTTTGGCATGTAACTTGGGTAAAAACAATTAAGTACTCTTGATGCATTTGATTTCTCTTAGCCCGTTTAAACATTTCCAAGGTCTATACCAGTTTTTGCAGGGGCGAAACTATGTAGAAGTTGGAAAAGAAACCCATCCCCTTTTTGACGTATTTGGTTTTCGAGGGGTGAAAATTTTCAATATTACACTCAACTACATGCAATATTTATTATATTATACTGAATGTTTTATACAAATACAAATAATAGTGAACCTTGAGCGCATAAATCTGCGCAGTCACTATTTTTTGGAATATCACCCGTCGTCAAGCAATGTTGACTGTTGCGACACTGGGCGTGGCTTCATTATTCAGCGGATAATAGTGCTTTTTAACAAATGTTTCTTGACGAATCAGATTACTTCATCTAATATACCTGAAAGTACAATATTAATTAATTGTCATCATTTTCCTATATTAGCATTTTTACTGGTAATGGTTTTGAAATGATAGGAACATGCACTGTTCAAAAAGTCTTAAAATGTTGTTTTGGCTCAATTTCTTTGTTAGATTACTGTGTTGAACTAAGGCAGGTCAATTAAAGTAACATGATCCTATAGATTACATGTACATTTAGTACTGTAAAGTAGACAAATTTATTGTTCTCACAAGTAGTTCTCAAACATTGATTTAAGTTGGTCTCCTGAAGGATGTAATAATGCAATTGGTCTGCTTAAGGTACAGTGTATAATATAGACATGCATATTTTATTTTGAATTTGTATTATGTCAATCATTAAACATATATGGATCTTAATTAAAAACATTGTTTTCATTAGAATTTAAGATATGTATAATAGGCATATATTCTTCATGCTTTTCCATAGTTATGTCCTTTTTTACAGGGTCTCTGCTAGAATCATGTGGACCCCAGTGTAACAAATCTATGGAAAGAGAGAAAATCTCAGCTCAAGGGTCAACATGTCTTTATTCCAAGAAAGGTAAATTGATAATTTTTTCTGCTAAAATACTCTTTTATAAATTATAATATCAATGCAAAAGAGTGAACAAACAATGTACCTAACAACATTTTGAAAATGAAAGTGCAATAACAGTTAATAATTATGATCAATCGAATGAATGTTGATAATCCAATCAAAGTCCTTGTTGTATATCAATTCTGTCAAAAAAGTCTTATAAATCATTATGCATGAATTTTATAAAAATGATAATTGTTTTTTACTCATTTTTAATTTTTTGTCTCACCGTCTTTAAAAATAACACTTCAAATTCAAACTTTTCTTGACTGTAAAATCAACATGTTAAGTAAAGTTGTCTATGTATTTTTATGATTTTGTAATAATCATTAAGATGTGCTACCTCCTTAATGATTATGTCATTTTTGATCAGTTTTAATTCAAAACAGTTACCGGTAAATACATGTATAATCTTTGGTGATTGAAATTCCCAAGTTTTTCACAGAATTACATAAAAAAAACCACCTGCCCGAAATGTATTGGAATTAAGTTATTTTTAGCTCACCTGAGCCAAAGGCTCAAGTGAGCTTTTCTGATCAAAATTTGTCCGTTGTCTGTCGTCGTTGTCGTCTTTGTTGTTGTTGTTGTTGTAAACTTTTCACATTTTCATCTTCTTCTCAAGAACAACTGGGCCAATTTCAACCAAACTTGCCACAAAGCATCCTTGGGTAAAGGGGATTCAAGTTTGTTCAAATGAAGGGCCATACCCTCTTTCAAGGGGAGATAATTAAGAATTAGTGAAAATTTAGTGGTATCTTTTAAAAATCTTCTTCTCAAGAACCACTGGGCTGTAAAAGTTGAAACTTAGGTGAGACCTTCATTACATAGTGTAGATTCAAGTTTGTTCAAATCATGACCCCCAGGGGTAGGGTGGAGCCACAATGGGGGATCAAAGTTTTACATAGGAATATATAGGAATAAATCTTTAAAAATCTTCTCCTCAAGAACAACAAAGCCACGATTAGTCATATTGATATGGAATCATCCTCAGGTAGTGTAGATTCAAGTTTGTTCAAATCATGACCCCCAGGGGTAGGATGGGGCCACAAAGGGGGGATCAAAGTTTTACATAGGAATATATAGAAAAAATCTTTAAAAATCTTTTTCTCAAGAACAACAAAGCCACAATTAGGCATATTGATATGGAATTATCCTCAGGTAGTGCAGATTCAAGTTTGTTCAAATCATGACCCCCAGGGGTAGGGTGGGGCCACAATGGGGGATCAAAGTTTTACATAGAAATATGTAGGACAAATCTTGAAATTGTTTTTCTTAAAAACAACAAAGCCACAATTAGTCATAATTTATATGGAAGCATCCCCAGGTAGTGTAGATTCAAGTTTGTACAAAATCATGACCCCCGGGCGTGGGGGGGGGGGGCACAATGGGGGATCAAAATTTTACATAGGAATTTATAGAAAAAAAATCTTTAAAAACCTTTCTCTCAAGAACAACGAAGCCACAATTAGTCATATTGATATGGAATCATTCTCAGGTAGTGTAGATTAAATTTTGTACAAATCATGACCCCCAGGGGTAGGGTGGAGCCACAATGGGGGATCAACATTTTACATAGAAATATGTAGAAAAAAATCTTGAAAAATCTTCTTCTCAAGAACAACAAAGTCACAATTAGTCATATTGATGTGGATTCATCCTCAGGTAGTGAAGATTCAAGTTTGTATCAAATCATGACCCCTCGGGGTAGGGTGGGGCCACAAGGGGCGATCAAAGTTTTACATAGGAATATACAGAAAAAAAAATTGAAAAATCTTCTTCTCAAGAACAGCAAAGCCTTGTTAAGTCATATTGATATGGAAGCATTCTCAGATAGTGTAGATTTAACTTTGTTCAAATCATGACCCCCAGGGTTAGGGTGGTGCCACAATTGAGGATCAAAGTTTTACATAGGAATACATAGGAAAAAACTTCAAAAATCTTCTTCTCAAGAACAGCAAAGCCATGTTTTGTCATATTGATATGGAAGCTTCCTCAGGTAGTGTAGATTCAAGTTTATTCAAATCATGACCCCTGGGGGTAGGGTGGGGCCACAATGGGGGATCATAGTTTTCCATAGGAATATATAGGGAAAAAAAACTTGAAAAATCTTCTTCTCAGGAATAGAAAAGCCATGTTTTGTCATATTGATATGGAAGCATCTTCAGGTAGTGTAGATTCAAGTTTGTTCAAATCATAAACCCCAGGGGTAGGGTGGGGCCACAATGTGGGATTAAATTTTTACATAGGAATATATAGGAAAAAATCTTTTAATCAACAGAAAAGCCATGTTTAGTCATATTGATATGGAAGCATCCTCAGGTAGTGTAGATTCAAGTTTGTTCAAATGATGGGGGGGGGGGGGGGGGGGTAGGGAGGGTCCACAATGGTGGATCAAATTTTTAACAAGGGAATATATAGGAAAAAAATCTTTAAAAATCTTCTGCTCAAGAACAGTAAAGCCATTTGTTATATTGATATGGAAGCATCCTCAGGTAGTTCAAAATCCAAGCCCCCTCCCCTTTAAACTTTTCAATACTGAAGTGATTTGTGCTTTTTCCTAGCCAATGTGCTCAGGTGAGCGTTGTGGCCCATGGGCCTCTTGTTTTTGATACGATATATTCATTAATCTAGATATGTATCGATATACAGGTAAACTTCGGTATCTCAAACACCGGTATGTTGAATACCACGGATATCTCGAAGTGAATCAACAGTCCCGGCCGTTTTTATTATATTTATGATTTTAAAAAACCCTGGTATCTCGAACACGGAAATATCGAATACCTCGCTTATCTCGAAGTAGATTTACGGTCCCAAGTGCTATAAACACATGCGTTATCTCGAAGTCCAACAAATTCTCGCTCCACTGAATTCACACCTTAGTACACAATAATCCCATTATGCTAATTTTACGGTCTGTTGAACGTTTCCGTTAGGTCTAGCACAGGCTTCATGGGACCATTGCTGATAATCACACCTTATTAGTCCCAAGCTGTTGTTTTTGGTAGTTAAATTTAATTACGCAGGCCAGGTGATTTGGAGGTGTTAATAAAATGCACTCTCAGAGATACTATGACACGATAATGAAACAGCAGCTTGGGGACGATTACTGTACTAGAAATTTAAATTTAAAATTTCAAAATACACGCTTATACACATCATTACATATCAAAGTAAACACTGAACACATCAAAGTGATATTGAACTCAAGAAATTAAACAATTAAAGACATTATTTTGAGTATAAAAGTCAGTACCAAAAATCAAATCTTCAGTAAATATCATGTCTGATAAGGCAGTCTAACGAAGGACCCGGTAGCCAACCAGGGGGGACAGTTAGATTATCTGACCGTGGTGTAAAAAGAAAACTTAAAGTTCATAGAATCGAAACAAAGTTTGCTTTTGTTTATTCATATTGGCAATTTCAATAAATTATTGTAGAACGATAATTCCTGTTGTTACATTTAGGCATGTGGGTATATGTACATATCCTGTTAAAGTCTTTGTGTATCACATTATATCATGATATACTTCAGACAAATTAGTACACCCGTAGTTTTGAATACAATTCATACATTGATTTCATTTGCCACAATGATCTCTTTAATATTGCAATAATGCATTTGGTCTTCCTAATGCATGTATAATGCAGGTACTGTATATACTCTATGTCCAGCTTATAGGTGAGTCATAAAAAGATTAGTATTTTGAAACCAGGTTAAAACATCAGAGCATTGATTTGAAATTGTCAATTGATTCTGGCAAAAAGTTGTACCGATTTATAAGCGGGTCAATAGCAAATCCCTCCAAAATAACCTCAAAAAATACAACTGACTTATAGGTGGACCACCTTATAGGCAAGTATATATATGGTATAGTTTTTGTTGAATTTTGCTAACAGCAAAACACTATGAATAATGAATTTTGGGAAAAAAAGATTATTAAGTTTAATGATGCATGTATGTAGTATAGAAATATTGTTCATATGCCTGTACATGGTACAAATATGCATTTTACAGAGTGTACATATGCCAGAATCATATGGACAGCAGACTGGCCCTGGTGATTCCATTAAGAAAAAAGAGGAAAAATCAGTGCTTGTGCTCATTGGTCATTGGACAAAGGTAAATAGATTTATTTCATGAAACTAAACATGTAAATTACTAGGATATTGAAATATCACAATTAAAATACATGTACTGATTTATAAATATATGGATATCAGTTGGTCTTCTTGATGGAGTTAAACGCATTTGTTATCCCTTTTAAGTGGATCATTTAAATATTATGCAGTTTATTTAGAAGCTCTTTATTATCTGCACTGTTTACTTTTACAGGGTGTATGCCAGAATTTTTTCAAGAACAGTCTGAATCTGACATGGAAAAAATGAAGAAAAACAGCCTTCCTGTTTATACATCTACATTCTGACAAAGGGTAATTTTGTTTAGTTCAATTAGAAGTGCACATTTAATTTCAGTTGCTTTCCTTAATGATATATTATAGCATTTTTATTCCCTTATGAACAATATGTATACTTGTAAAGCATGTATCACAAAATCTTCTGCAAACAAAGTTTTGGGTGTATAGTGTTTGTTGTTTAACGTCCCTCTTGAGAATTTTTCACTCATATGGAGACGCCACCACTTGTCGGTGGAGAGCTGCAAATTTTTGTCCTATACTCAGCACTTACGGCCATTGAGCATTGAGGGATCTTTTTCGAGCCAGCACCTACTGTGACGTGGGACCTTGGTTAATACCTCTGTCTCATTTGAAGAACGGGTCTCCACGTCCCACAGTGGGATTCAAACTCGCGATGTAAGGATCAGCTTCTTTCTCCGCGACTCTAGAGTAGACGCTCTAACCACTGCATCTGCTCTACTTTGGCAACTTTGGGTGTATATAAGCATAGGAATCATCATGTCCATCTGTCTGTTCATGTGTTTGGCCACTTTTATGATTAGTTTTTTTGTTCCAATTCTAGCTGAGATAAATTGATTTAAGTCATCTAGATACAAACAAATTAAGGGAAATTACTATGGTATTGGAATGAACATTTTGGAATACTGTCTAATTGTTCCATTGTAGTTGGTTTCTTTAATGTTGAAATAATGCATCTGGTCTTCCTAATGCATGGCATACACTGTATGCATGTGTAATGTTAAAGTTGGCTGAATGTAAAACAGTTCTTGCATTATGACAAAGGTAAATAGATTTAGTTCATGTAACTAAACATGTAAATTATTAGGGTATTAGAATCTCAAGTTTTGAATACTGATTTACATGTGGAGAGAAGTTGGTCTCCTTAATGCAGTAATAATACATTTGGTCTCCCTTATGCATACTGTATATTATATAAAGTTAATGACTGACATGTACGAGGGTTGATCCAAAAGTTCATGGAATTTCTTCATATTTTATTTATTTATTAGTGAAAGTGGTTGAATACTGATTTACATGTGGATAGTAGTTGGTCTCCTTAATGCAGTAATAATACATTTGGTCTCCCTTATGCATACTGTATATTATATAAATTTAATGACTGACATGTACGAGGGTTGATCCAAAAGTTCGTGGAATTTCTTCTAGTGTTGTACCGATAATCAGAAAACATCGATTGTCGACAAAAAAATGCTACCGATTCCGATGATCGATTAAAGTTTTTCATAATCGATCATCGGAAACATACTTCTAATACAATACATTCTGGAATTATCCATTTCTGGTTTAAAATTTATTTCTTCTTAATGAAAGAAAATGGCATCTGCATCTGATACTAGCCAACTAGCACGAAGCAGAGGTGATTAAGAACCGAAGATGCATATATAGGGCCTAAAAAAAATTATTTTTGTTTCCTGTAATAACCCGACCAACCCATTCAATTTACCCCCGGGTGAATTTTTTTTTCTGCCAAATCTGTGTTTGCTCTTTGGTTTGATCAATCAGCTGATTCTTTTTATTCAAAAAATATTAATTGTATCTTTTATTTGAGATATAAAATATGCAACTTAGTCAACATTTACCTTAAATATAGAGTGATCAATTCCCCCAACAACTTTTTGAAGTTCGTTTTCTGCCGCTAGGCAGCCATGTTGGGTGTCCACTGTAAATATTTTTAGGTCTAGAAAGTGTAAAAGAAGCAAAACAACAAAGAAAATAATATATTATGTATTTTATATATTCATGTTAAAGAAATAAATGAAATTATTGTAATAGTCTGCTTTTTGTATACAACACTATGAAGAAATCTGATTATAATCGGTGAAATCGCATCAGAAGCAGTAACCGATTCCAACCGATGATCGATTATGAAAATTAACTGATGTCTCATCACTAATTTCTTCATATTTTTTTTTATTTATTAGTGAAAGCGGTTGAATACCGATTTACATGTGGAGAGTAGTTGGTCTCCTTAATGCAGTAATAATACATTTGGTCTCCCTTATGCATACTGTATATTATGTAAATTTAATGACTGACATGTATGAGGGTTGATCCAAATGCTCATGGAATTTCTTCATATTTTATTTTTTTATTAGTGAAAGTGGTTGAATACTGATTTACATATGGATAGTAGTTGGTCTCCTTAATGCAGTAATAATACATTTGGTCTCCCTTATGCATACTGTATATTATATAAAGGATGAGTGCACTTAAGCTATGGGAGTTGGGTCCCGGTGTTTTGCGCAAAATAAAATTCCGAAGTTCATAAACTTTATGTTTTATAGGTATTAAACAATGTCTTAAGAGCAGGTTTTGGTATATTATATTACATGAAAGTATTAAATAATGCCAAGCGACATTAGCTTTTGAGACGGGGGTCTAACAGTTTTGTCACATTTCTATTGTTATTCATATGCATACCAGTTTTCAACGACACATCGAGCCGCAACTTGTCCATTGGTCTCATTTGCACAGAATGTGTATTTTAATTTAAACTTCAACATATCCAAAGGACAATGTTGGACAAATTGCGGCTCATATCTAATTTTTTGAAAAAGTCTCCAAACTACGGTCGAATTAGCCACTAAATTAACAGTTCACCGAGTGTCAACGATTGATATTATGATCACTTTACTCACGTGACATTCCACTGATCAGTATACGCTTAGGCTTTCATTGAACATTTCATTGTGTTTGTCATTGAAAGTTTCTATTGTGACAGTATCTATCGTACTTCCAACTTCAAACTATGGAAGATTTTTGCGCAAATTTTAATAGGGTTTGAAGATTATATGTCTCTTATTTTACTTTGTATTTTTCATTAGGGGTGTTTTGAAAGAATTCTGGTATTGACACTTGATTAGTAAGTACATGTACAGGCTCATGTCGCCTCTGTATAATGGTCTGCAGGGCGAGACATCTTCCCCATCCCTAAACACTAGAATCATTAATAATTTGTGCACCATGAAACTACACAATCTCTCTCTCCTCCATTTAAATTCGCAGTGCGAAAAAAATCATATGTGCCAATGTTTACTTTCCACATCCATGCGATTTAAATGTCTCCGCCTATTTGCGGATACCTTAAATTCGAAAGTAATCCCATTCAAATTTCCGGAATTTAAGGCTTGAACATGTTCTTTTCAATAACATTGTCTGTAATTATAGAAATATGTATGACAAAAAATCCAAGGAATAAATATCAAACGAATATGCTTGCACAATAATCATAGATTAATTAAGCGATATATTGTAATGTAAAGCTTAAAATGGGTAGCCCAAAAGGTTCCAAATGACGTACTAAAGTGCAATCATTCTTTAATGACTGACATGTACGAGGATTGATCCGAAAGTTCATGGAATTTTTTCTTATTTTATTTATTTATTAGTGAAAGTGGTTGAAAATTACAAATAAGAATATAGACACTTGTTGAATTTTTTTAATAAAAAAATATTTTAAATATTAATGATAGTAACTCTATGGCAGTTGCCATAGCAAAGGATGTTTTAAAATGCAGGGGAGACATTTACTCGTTCATTATCATTTTAATTCTTAATACGTGATATAAGAAAAAACCTGCGCCAAGTGGCAAATAAAATGAGAATTTTGTCATTATTACGATTGCTTGACCACTAATATACCTGTATGTGAGAGTTTTACTGATTTAACTTGATATTTAGATTATTAGTTGATGATTTCTTGTTCATCTTTTAATTGTTAGAGAACGTCACATTTCAGTCAAGTTATAAGTTTTGTTAAAATCTTAGGAACACTCTGACTTAAAGGGGTATACTACTGATACAGGCTGGAGAAAAATGCATTTAGCAACTGATTTTCCAGTGGCGTGAGAAATTTAAGAACAATAGAACTTCCATGGAGGTTGATTAAAGGTGTGGCTGCTTTTGGAGGGTCTGTTTTTCTCGTAGACAAATTAAGCGTTGATGGATGTTGACCGCTGACGTACTGTGCTTGACTTTGCTACTGAAATTGGAACATCATATGGAAAGATGGGGAGTATTTGAAATATGAGTGTAATATAAAGATAAGTCAATTGGTGGATACCCAGGCTTTTCTTGAGAGAAAAAAGGAGAAAAAGGCAGAATATTCTGTAGAATTACTTAGTTGAATTGAACATGAGGGTGAGATGCTCCTATAACATGACATGACATACTTAACTTGACGTTACGTCGAAGTCTCCCCCGGATTTTACAACTATCAGTGTTCAGAAAGCTCATGTGACCTTATTGGTAATTGGAACGTGGTGAAATTTTCCAGTATTGTTGCCTAATGACTCTATATTATAAATATGCCTATTGTTTGCTTTCGTCAATTCACAATAAAATTTTAGAAATAATTAAATTCCATGAACTTTTGGATCAACCCTCGTATTAGAAAAAAGATGGATCTAAGATTGAACAGGTTATAATTCACCTGAGTCATTTAAATTATTTATTGCTATCTGTTCTTGTTCAGTCATCATGTGTCAAGTATTGTCTGTAAACTATTGAACATTTTCAGCTTCTTTTCTGGAACCAGTTTCAACTAGTTTCTCGGTTGAAGTACTGTATAGGGGATAATTTCAGGGGTTGTAATTTTCATGTGTTTCTATCCTCTGACACGATCGCGGTTTGTTGAATTTGCGGAATCAGTATATAACTAAGGTTACATGTACCTCCCTTCAATGTCTATATCCGTTTAATCCATAGCATAGCTAGAAGGCATTAATCAGCGTTATGTATTCACTTCACGAACAACAGGGTAGATTTATATATACATCAGCAAGTTCGATAGTTATTTAAATGATTTTTTAAAACCAAAATGTCGATAAAAACATGATAATGCAGGTAACAAATACACGTCATAACATAGTTACGTACGGGTATTCAAAACCCGTGACCCTAGTGTTTTGATTGATGAAACATGTAGCGTTGGCTATTAAAACAGTTTTTTTTTTCTTTTTACAAATACAGGTTATTATCTGCTGGGTGATCTA